GGTACCATTCGCTGACATAGTGGACATGATAAACTTCTGTGTCCCTGAAACTGATAACCAAGAGTCCCCCCAATGGGTACATATACCAGAGGATGCTTCTTGACCTCAGAATTCCATTACAAATTGTCCTAAGCTTGTGTTTTTGAGAGGCACTTCTTAGAAATGTGAAAAGGGTATAAAAGAAAATGGCCTCTGCTGGATCTCTTTTCAACTAATTTAGCAAAAAGTATACTTTAAATATACACAAATGGTAGGACAATTTATTGAAATATAAATGTGCCTTTAGTTCTCATTGTTTTCCTGTTCTATTTTGAGAATGCTTTTCTGTTTTCTTTCTTTGAGCTTTTGTCCAACAGGGTTAATGCAAAAGTAAATTGCTTTTATTTTTTTAAAGCCTAAACTCATTGAAGGACGTATGCTATGTTGTCCCGGAAGAGTGGGTAGGGACAAGTGTCCAAGAGGGAGAGTCTATTATGGAGACCTCAAAGAGATTTTTATTTTGGGAGAGAAGGCTCTATGAATCTGGAGGGAGGGGCCAGGATCCAGATCCTCTGTGCTGTTCCTTTGTAAGCCCTTGAGGTTGTGTGGAATGGTTTCATGATGTAGTGGGAACCTAACTCTGTGTTGTGATTCCTAGCCTTGGCAAGGGGCTCCAGCTCAAGCTGGGAGGCAAGTTTGAGGAAGCAGCAGGATCACCCTCCTGCAGTGGATTTTGTGGTCTTGAACAAAAAGCCTCTCTGAGGTGACCAGTCTGGACCAAAGATCACAGGGCTGTCCCTAAGTATGCTGGACTTTTTAAAACCTGATCATTGCCCTAGGCATGAGATGTGGCCTCAGTATTGACTGAGGAGTGGTATCCATCTGAGTGGTGGCTTAGATGTGATTTAATTTGATAATAAAAAAATAGTGTGACAATTATTAGGAGTGTGAAGTTACTTTCATACTTACTACACAAATGTATAGTTCTTAAGAATTGAGAGAAATTACACGTTAAAAGCCTTACTTTTCTAGAAAAATTCAACATCAATCTTTTTTTTTTTATGAAAGACACAATATTCTTTCTTTATTTTTTTTTTAATCCCTCCCCTCCCGCCCCCCCACCCCCCAAAAAGTGTCTCTGGTTCATAGTTTTTTGTTGATTTTGATTTTCATTTTCTTGTAGTTATTCATTTTCCTGGTCCCTTATTTAAGTTTTCTAGATTCCTGCTATGAGTGAGACCATCCGGTATTTTTCTTTTTCTTTTTGGCTTATTTCGCTGAGCATGATCCCTTCCAGCGCCATCCATGTTGCTGCAAATTGCATGTGTTTATCTTTTTTGAATGCTGAGTAATATTCCATGGTATATATCAACATCAATCTTTAATTGCAACTTTTCTGTGTGCTATTTCAGTTTGTTGTATGCCAGATGAACTCAGGATGCCTCAACAAACTTGATTTTCTATTCTTTCTAACCCAGAAGTTGGAGTGGCAGAAAGGAAGGAATAAGGTAGTTTGAGAATTGTTGAATGTAGGTTCCTTTCTGTTCTCACCCATTTCTCAGTGTTTCCTGGGTTCACCTGGGTCTTGGAGCAGATCTAAGCATGAATACCTATTTAATTTCAGTTATCTTGCTGCTTTACTTTCCAGATGTTAAAGTTGCATTCAAGAAATCAAACCTCCTATTACTTTTTTATACTTTTTTGATATGTATGTTTATTTTTCTTGCATTATCGCACAAGCCAGAACTTCTAGCACGATGTTGAATAAAGGTGATGAGAATAGATATTTTTACATTATTTCAGATATCCAGAGAAAGTATTCACTCTTGCATCATTAAATATGATGTTATGATAGGTTATTGTACAATGGTTTTCAGGTATTATTTTTAACATGTGGTTTTTATATTTCTTTTAATCTTAACTTGAGAGATTGAGCCCTCAGACTTCCTTTGTGATAGCCTGTCAGTAGACTTTGAATACATGATAACCAAAAGGATAGAATGATGATCCACCTTCTACTGTAATGTTTTTATTTTCTAACTAAGAAGGCCCATATCAAAAATATGTCAACAGAAGTGTTATGGGACTAGCCATGTATGAAAAAGTTATCTGACTGCACATCAAAATTTTAATTCCTCCACTACCTGCTTTCCACTGCCCTGGACACATTGTTTTAACACTCTGGGCTACATTTATCACATGACATTTTTTTCCTTTATTTTATTTTATGTATTTTTTTTTTAAGATTTATTTATTTATTTATTTATTTTTTATTTATACAAGCACTGGGTACAGTCAGAAGTGCGGGAGGGTGAGAGAATTCACCAGAGCCAGAGCGGGGAGCAGAGCAGGCAGAAGGACCGAAGTACACTGCTGAAGGGAGCAGCGGGTGGCAGGAGAGGTCTGCACACCATGCGGGACCCTCCTCCAGTGGCCGGGGAGCAGCCGGGGATGGAACCGGCGCTGCAGAGGCTGCGGGCGGCTTCGCAACCCAGTGTTCAACCGCTGCGCCACCGGGGAGGCCCTATTTTATGTATTTTTTACATAATTTTTCATTTTTGCACAATGTATGTATTTTCATCTTGGTTATAGTCCCCATACAATTCCCAACCCCCTTGTTTTGATCCTACTCCCTTCTACCTGCCCCCCCATCCTCTGCCTAGTGTATCTCTGGTTTATAGTTGCTTATTGATTTTGATTTTTACTTTATTATAATTAGTCTTTATCCTGGTCCCTTATTTAGGTTTTCTAAATTCCTACTATGAGTGAGACCATCTGGTATTTTTCTTTTTCTTTTCTTACTTCACTGAGTATGAGCCTGTCTAGCTCCATCCATGTTGCTGAAAATTGCATGAGTTTATCTTTTTTGAATGCTGAGTAATATTCCATTGTATGTATGTACCACATCTTCTTGATCCAGTCATCTATTTTTGGGCATTTGGGTTGTTTCCATAGTTTAGCTATTGTAAATAGTACTGCTATAAACATAGGGGTGTAGGTGACCTTTTGAATTAATGTTTGTGTGTCCTTTGGGTAAATACCTAGGAGTGGAATTGCTGGATAAATGGAAGCTCCATCTTTAGCAGATTGAGGAATCTCCACACAGCTTTGCATAATGGTTTTGCACTCCCACCAACAGTGCAGGAGAGTTCCATTTTCTCTACATCCTCGCCAACATTTGTTGTTGCTAGTTTTTTTAGTATGTGCCATTCTCACTGGTGTAAGATGGTATCTCATTGTAATTTTGATTTGCATTTCCCTGATTACAAGTGATGCTGAACATTTTTTTCATACGCCCATTGGCCATTTGCATTTCCTCTTTGGAGAAGTTCCTTTTTAGCTCTTCTGCCCATTTTTTGACTGGGTTTTTTACTTTGTTCTGGTTGAGTCTCTTCAGCTCTTTGTAGATTTTTGTGATCAGGCCTTTATCATTAGTGTTGTGTGCAAAAATTTTCTCGCAGTCTGTGCTGTTTCTCTGTTTTGGTTACTGTCTCTTTTGCTGTACACAAGCTCTTTAATTTGATGTAGTCCCAGCTGTTTATCTTTGACTTCATTATCACTGCTTTGGGTGATGAGTTCTTAAAGATGTTACTGAGTTGTATGTCATGTAGTGTTCCTCCTATATTTCCTTCTATATATTTTATGGTTTCAGGTCTTATGTCTAGTTCTTTAATCCATTTTGAGTTGGTTTTTTGTGCATGGTGTGTCACATGACATTTTGGACTTGATGACCAGTAATGAGTTATGGCATGAAGCAATACTCTTCTTATGATTCTGGAATGTAGAGTAAGAGGTTTCTTTTAAAATTCAAATACAGGATAAAAAGAATAATACCTAAAGTGATCACTTAGATATAATGAGACTTATTTTTGGTAGAACTTATGAATGTGCCAATAAGATCAATAAGAAAACAAAATTTGTTTTCTTTCACAAATTCATGCATAAAACCTTGTGCTGAAACTTAGAACAGGTTTTACTATACCTTTTGGTTAATTTCACTGGATACTCATATTGGAGCTAGGCAAAAAATAAATCATTCAAAACCAGTGATAAAAATTAGCATATTATTAGTTTTTGAACTGAGTTATATGCAGTTTTAGTCCTTGAAAGAAACATTTTTAATTGACACTTATGAATGAAAAATACTTTCTATGCCGTGGCAGCAAAGTGAAATGTTTTCTGGTAAGTTAGGCAATCCCAGGCAAACAAATCACTGTTGTATATACTGATTTTAGCCAGTGAGTGTCATATGGACTAGGTTCTTTTTTTTTTTTTTTAACATTTTTGTACTTTTTTTTTTTTAATTTTATAGAGGCATGTTTATTTATTTATTTATTTGTTTGTTTGTTTGTTTTGTTTATACACGCACTGGGTACAGTCAGAAGCGCGGGAGGGTGAGAGAATTCACCAGAGCCAGAGCGGGGAGCAGAGCAGGCAGAAGGACCGAAGTACACTGCTGAGGGGAGCAGCGGGCGGCAGGAGAGGTCTGCGCGCCATGTGGGACCCTCCTCCGGTGGCCGGGGAGCAGCCGGGGATCGAACCGGCGCCGCAGAGGCTGCAGGCAGCTTCGCAACCCAGCGCTCAACCGCTGCGCCACCAGGGAGGCCCTGGACTAGGTTCTGCAAAGATCATTTGAATCTTGATTTCATAGGTCTTAATCATCATACACTATTGCTCATATAAATCTTGGCTAATTTCCCCCCAACTGGTATTCTCTGTTTAGTTGGGGTTTGAAAAAAAGTGTGTGATTTTCTTTCTCTAATATTAATGTACTGAAATTATGAAAAATAATTTAACTAAAAATACTTAGATCTTGAAGATTTAGAAAGTCTTTATACATAATCTGTATCTACAGAACAACTACAACTAAATACCACTGTTGTAGCTTACTGAGTAGGGTAGCCTTCAGTATGCATTTCAGAAGTGTGGAAAGACCAGATTTAGAGGACTCAAAATGTATGTGGTAGTATGAATTATTTCATTCACAGTATAGAATTAATAAATTAAATCTCATTCTTTAGGTTGATGGAAATTTCATCTCAATCAATGAAATCATTTCCCTGTTCTGGTTAAATGGGAAGAGAAACTTTATAAGTTGTTATCCAGATTCCCAACTATACAACAAGCTGAAACTGGAAGATGAAAGTGGACTTAAAAGGTAAGATTAAAAACCTGATTTTCTTATTGATCTGACATTCCTCAGAGAGAGAAAAATATTCGGTATAAAATTGCTAAAGGAAGGCAATATTCAAAAAAATTGAAGTGCTTACTGGACTAAGTAAAAGCAATGCACTAAAAATGGTAAGCTTTTAGGGTACTATATAATAAATTAAGGCCATAAAATTCAAACCTAAAAGTTAAGTAATTAATGTAATTTTTAAAAAGATTTATTTATTTATGCATACAAGAGCTGGGGTATAGGCCAGAGGTGTGAGGGGTTAGAGGATTCACCAGAGACAGAGTGGGGAGCAGAACAGGCAGATTGATCGAGGTATACTGCTGAGGGGAGCAGTGGGCAACTCAGGAGGGGTCTGCTGCACCATGTGGATTGCTCCCTGGCTGGCCGGGGGAATCGAACTCATGCTACAGAGGCTTTGGACAGCTTCAATGACTGAGTCTGAACCCCTTGCGCCACCAGGGAGGCCCCTACTTAATGTAATTTTAAGGCTTATAACTGTGACCAATCACTAAACCTGGTGTGTGTTGCTTAAATAAATCCAGGCAAGATGTGTATAAAGGGATAAATGAGTGTGGGCTGATTCCCTTAGAACACAGACACTGAGCACACTTTTCTAGGTGTATATATTATCAGTAGTTTGCTAGGGCTACCATAACATAGTACCACATACTGGGAGATTTAAACAATAACATTTTATTTTTCCTCAATTTTGTAGAGTAGAAGTTGAGATCAAGGTACTGTCAGGATTAGTTTCTGGTGAGAGCTGTTTCTGGATCATGGATGTCTGACTTCTGTCCTCACATGGCCACTTCTCTGTGTGTACACAGAGAGGACAAGCTCTGGTATCTCTTCTTAAAAGGTCACCAGTCCTGTTAGATTAGGACTCCACACCTTTTCCTCTTCCTTCTCACCCAACCTTTTGAAATGCCATCTTTTGGTTCTTTCTTCACAGCTCTTTCACTTGAGGAATCTTCAAGTGTGTCAAATTTAGGTTAAACAATAAGTGTTTTCTTTGCTCAATAGTGAATTGCACCTGTTAAAACTTATGCCCAGGTGAAGTTGAATAGACTCATTAATAATGTAAAAATGAAAATAATGTCCTTGAATTTTCAAAGAATTTTTGAGTTTGAAGTTGAGAAATTTAAGCAAAGGGATTCAGAAGGATTTGATCTATAATTTATTATTATCCCTGTTTCTAGTCTACTGCATTTTCTCTGTGTGACATACTAGGTACACACTTTTTATATAATAGAAGGGTAGTTAATAGCTGGCAGCCCTTGGGCAACGTATTCTTAAAGCCTCAGTTGCTTCAGCTGAAAGATTGGCATAATAAAATGCACCTTTCTCAAGATTCATGTGAGAACTCAGTATCAGCTTTAGATGTACAACAGAATGATTTTATGCATATATTTATATGATTACCACAATACCTTTAGTTAACATCTATCAGCACACAGTCATAATTTTTCTTTTTATGATAAGAGCTACTCTTAGCAACTTTCAAATATACAACACAATATTGCTAACTGTACCATGCTGTGCATTGCACCAGGATTTACTCATCACTGGCAGTTTGTTTTTGTTTTGGTCACTTCAGCTAGACTTGGGAAGCTATCTGTTTTCACACTAAGCTTCCCTCCTTTGACATCTCTACTCTCTGGAGGAGGTAAATTCCCTTTTAAAAACCTAGATAGTACATTTGAGGGAACAGACTGTACCGTCAGTTGGACAAGATACAATTAATGTCTCTACAAAGTAAGTCAGTCTGTGTAGTCTCTTGCTTCAGCCGAGTCCCTTTTAAAGCCAGTTCTCTTGGTGGCTTTTTAATTTTTATTTTTTACAACAAGATTTTATTGCAGGTGTTATGTCTTAGAAGGGGAAAGGGAAAGAGGCAAGTCCATTTGAGTAGAAAAAAGGCAACAGGAGCCCAATCAGGACATGCTCATATTTTTGCCATCCTGTATGGGGTTTAGTTTAAAATCAGACTTAATTTGATTTGTTGAAATAAGTTAAGTGATCTTTCACCCATAATCATGATGTTATACGATTCGTACCCAAATACAAGTCATTATTTTCCCCCTACAACATCAATTTGAGTGACTCGTGATATTCTTAGCTGGAATAATTATTTCCTTATTTAATTAGTTAGCTATTTGGGGGTATAGGTAATAAAACAATATTAAATAAGCATCTTTGAAGTTAAATCCTTGAGTAGACCCTGAATTATTTCCTTAGGACACATTTGATTATTGGTTCAAAAGAATGGGTAAAATTTTAAGACATGCATGTTAGAGGTTGTTAGAGTCCACTAAAAAGATTTAACCTTATCACAAGTGGGAAAAAGTGCCCTTCTGCAAGGTAGCTTGAGTTTAAAAAAAATGGTGCAAGTATTAGTTTGCTAGGGCTGCCATAACAAAGTATATGAAAATGGGTAGCTTAAACAAGGTAAATTTTTTTCTCCCAGTTCTGGTGGCTGAAGGTTCAAGGTGCCGAAGGGTTGTATGCTTCTGAGATCTTTCCTTGCCTTGCAGAAGACGACCCTCTTTGCCATCTTTTCACAAGATTATCCCTTTGTGCACCTGCACTCTTGGTATTTCTTCCACTTATTATAAGGACAATAATGATTGGATTAGGGTCCCACCCTAAGCCCCTCATTTTAACTTAATCACTTATTTAAAGACCTTTTTCTTTAATTACAGTTACTTTCAGGAGTTGGTGAGGGGGGTAAGATTTTAACAAATTAATTTCTGGGGGGTGTTGGGCACAATTAAGTTCATAACAGAACCCTAGCTGCAAAAAAAAAAAAAAAAAAAAAAAACTCTCAGATACAGTAAGTGACTTATAAAGAGAAGTTTCTGCTTTCTGGATATACAATTGGCCAAAATTTTCCCTTTATTCCTCAATTTATTTTTTTCCCTTCTGTTTTTGTCTCTCTTTTTTCTAGGTATAATTTAGGTACATTAAATACACCATTTTTAGTGTATACTTTCATGAGTGTGTAGCTATCACATTCAATTTGGTTGTTATAATTAAGCTTACAGGAGGGGCAGAAAACAAAGATTGTCTAAATCTCAATTATATATATATGTGTGTGTGTGTATATTTTTTTTTTTTTTGAAGGCCGGGATACCTATAAGCAAGTAAAACCAAACTAAGAAATTAGGCAATTATTTACATAATAATGTAAATAATTATCTGAGGGATAGGAAATGGACTACATCATTTAAGTGTTTATATAACACTCCTTATTTACTGTTCCTACCTTTACCAATCTAATCTCTGAAAAGAATCTAACATCCTAATTTATAGAATAACTTTCATTTATCTTGGATTCCTAAATGTGTCTTAAACATGCTTGCATTGGCTCCCAGCATCCCTACTCCTCTTCTTGTATAGGCTTATATAGCAAACATATACTTCTATGTTTTCCTAGTTAATAGAAATTGAACACACAATGGATTCCCAATTAGGTGGTGTAGAGAATTATTTTAAAACAGTATACTTTAGAATTTACAGATTAGATGGGAAAGGATGGTCTTAGTTTTTTCCTGAAATTTACCTTTTAGTTTTATCATTTGTTTAGATGATTCTCTAAATATACTTCTTAAGGTATAATCTCTCATCTGAGTTGTAGATAGTCTTGGCATTCCCAGAAAACACTGCTCCATAAAAATTCCAGTATCAACTTAAACTTTAACAATTATATTATTCATCTCCCCTGCTCCTTCTCCCCAAGACAGTTTTTTTTGTTAGGTATTCTACTTCCATCATCCTGTAATTTTAGGCTTCCAGACTTCAATCATTGGAATGCTTTTATTTTTTCGTCATTTTTTAAATCACCCATAGTTAGCAAATCCTCACATATATGAAATTTTACTTATTTTTTTTCGTAACAGGAAAATAGCTTCCTTGTGTCCTCCTAGTTTTGTCAATGGCACTGATCACTAGTACTGTGCTGTATTTCTATTTTTATATATTGTCTGATTCTCCCTCACTAGAATGTAAGCATCAGGAGGGCAGATATTTGTCTTTTGTTTACTGTCACTCGGTCTGGTATTTCTTAAAGTAACACTTAGAGTATGCCAGGATTGTGCTTTGCCTTTAGATGTAGAATCCATTTAATTTCTACCACACTGGCAAGGTGTTTCACTGTATTCATTTCCAGATAATAAGACTGGCCAATTTTTTTTTAAGATTTTTTTTAAGGATTTATTTATTTATGCATACAAGAAATACACTGCTGAGGGGAGCAGCTGGCAAGTCAGGAGAGGTCTGCTGTGCCATGTGGGTAGCCCTCTGGCCCAGGATGGAACTCTGGTGCAGTGGCTGCAGATAACCTGCAGAGGTTGTGTCTTAACCCTTGCGCCACCGGGGAGGCCCTGGTTAACTTTTTTAAAGAGCAACTTGCCCGAAGTCACACATCTGGATGGTAGGAGGGTTAGTAGGTGGTAGAACGAGATTATAGTTTATCCCCAAGTCTAGAAGACTGTCTCTATTCCTTTAGTCAAAACTTCTTAATCTAAAATTGAAGACATGCCAACATATGTTTCAACTCTTATTTTGTCCATCAAAAACCCTCCCAGTCCACTCACTGTCACTTGAAGCTAATGTAGCTAAGTTTCTTTAGGATTTGGTGCAGATAAACTCCCTATACAAATCTTATGTAGCCTTAGACTCTGAGGGTCAGCGTGTTTTCCACTCTTTCACAAATGATGCACGAATACTCCAGGGTACGGTGAGGAATTCCTCCGAACTTCTCTAGTGTTTATCACATGGCTTGGGGCCTCTTGGTCACATACTGTCTCACACTATGCCCCACTCCTTATATCTTGCTTGGCATACAAATGTTCAATGAATGGAAGCCGTTATAATTTTCTTGTATTTCCACTTGAGGTTCTGTAAGGGTTATCAAGAGTGCACGGTATTTGTAAATAACGTTCATGTGTTAATTTCTCTGGGTCCTAGCCTGATATAAACACATTTAAAAGGCAGTGTTTTAGTTGGGAATGAAGCAACGGATAACGTCCACACATCAAAAGGTTGTGTTCCCTGAGGTAAAGTGAAAATGCCCGAGCTCAGCAAGGGGCGCAGAGAGGACGGCCGCTGGGCGGCGGGGGTCGCGCCTCGGAGGTGCTGTGGGACGCGCTTTGGGCGCCTCGCCGTCCACACTGCCTCGGGCCCGCTTTTGCGCAGGGCCACGTGTCAATGTTATAGTTTAACTGCGCTCTGGGCCGACTGTAAACGGTTAATAACCGCCTCCCCTGACCAGGCCTCTCCCCTCCATCTTTGTGCGGGCGGAGGGGCGGGGACGCCAGGTGTAGCGCCCCGGTCCAGACTCGGCTAGTAGATCCAGGCCCCCCAACCCCAACAGTCAAGTTTTCAAAAAGCCCGCGCGTGGAGCCCCAGGCCGCATCCGTTGGGAACGGCCCCCAACGCGCCCCCGCTCGCCCCCCCGCCCCCGCGCCGAGCCCCGGGCGGGGGGATGCGTGGGGGGGGGGGGCGGCAGGCAGGTTCCGCAAACAGGGGGGAGCCCGGGCCGGCGCGCACCGGGGAGCGCGCCCGTCCAGCGGACGCCGAAAACGGAAGTGGGTGCGAGCGGCTCGCGGTGATTGGCTGGGATGACATGTCTCTCAAGGGGCTGGCGCGAACGCCACTGCGGAGTTGGGCGAGGGGATACGGGAAGGGGAGGGGGGAGAGACACTGGGAACAGCCGCGGGGCTGGGAGGAAACGACTCGCCAGCGTCCGCGGCGGGAAGGGCGAGCCCCTCGTCAGGGCACACCGGGTGGCTGGAGCGCAAAAGCGGGGTGGCAGCGGCGGCGGCGGGAGCGGGCAGCGCCGAGAGCTTGAATGGACCGCGGAGGGCGGGGAGTCCGTGGCCGAGAGCGGCGCTGCGGCGCGGTAGGCGGGACAAAGGGGAGCGAGGCGGGGATTGGCGGGCAGCCCTGGGCTGCCGTACGTCGGCGGTGACGCACGCCTCGGGGCGGGTGCGCGCGCGTTCAGCGGCCTCTTTGTGTGGTGCCCAGATAGGGGAGCGGAGGTGGCGGTAGCGGTAGCGGCGACGGCGGCCTCGGTCGCGTTCCAGCCTCCGCGGCCCGTCCTCTGGTCGGCACCTCTCCCCTTCCCTCCCCCTTCCTCTTCACCTCCTTCCCTCCCCTTCCCTCCTTCCCTCCCCCGTCGGGACCGGCGGTGGCGGCCCCAGCAACGGCTGGGCCCAGGCAGTGAGGAGGCCTCAGCCCACGATAACGGCGACGGCGAAGCCGCGGAGCGCGCAGGGCGGGGGCAAGGCCCGGGCCGTGGAGATGGAGAATTCGCAGCTGTGCAAGCTGTTCATCGGCGGCCTCAACGTGCAGACGAGTGAGTCGGGCCTGCGCGGCCACTTCGAGGCCTTTGGGACTCTGACGGACTGCGTGGTGGTGGTGAACCCCCAGACCAAGCGCTCGCGCTGCTTCGGCTTTGTGACCTACTCCAATGTGGAGGAGGCCGACGCCGCCATGGCCGCCTCGCCCCACGCGGTGGACGGCAACACGGTGGAGCTGAAGCGGGCGGTGTCCCGGGAGGATTCGGCGCGGCCCGGGGCCCACGCCAAGGTGAAGAAGCTCTTTGTCGGGGGCCTGAAGGGAGACGTGGCCGAGGGCGACCTGATCGAGCACTTCTCGCAGTTCGGCACCGTGGAGAAGGCCGAGATCATCGCCGACAAGCAGTCGGGCAAGAAGCGCGGCTTCGGCTTCGTGTATTTCCAGAACCACGACGCGGCGGACAAGGCCGCGGTGGTGAAGTTCCACCCGATCCAGGGCCACCGCGTGGAGGTGAAGAAGGCCGTGCCCAAGGAGGATATCCACTCCGGGGGCGGCGGCGGCGGCTCCCGGTCCTCGCGGGGCGGCCGGGGCGGCCGGGGCCGCGGCGGGGGCCGAGACCAGAACGGCCTGTCCAAGGGCGGCGGCGGCGGTTACAACAGCTACGGCGGCTACGGCGGCGGCGGGGGCGGCGGCTACAACGCGTACGGGGGCGGCGGCGGCGGCTCGTCCTACGGGGGCAGCGACTACGGCAATGGCTTCGGCGGCTTCGGCAGCTACAGCCAGCACCAGTCTTCCTACGGGCCCATGAAGAGCGGCGGCGGCGGCGGCGGCAGCAGCTGGGGCGGGCGCAGCAGCAGCGGACCTTACCGGGGGGGCTACGGCGGCGGCGGCGGCTACGGCGGCAGCTCCTTCTGAGGAGGAAATTTTAAAAGGGCCCGGGAGCGGCTGTAGGGGTAGCTCTTTCCGACGGCCCCGCGAGGGTGCGCTCCGAAGGCCCTTCCCCCTCCCACCGCCTTCCCCGTTTTGCCCTTGGGGGCGCCGCCGCTGAGGCGGCCTGCCCTGGGGGTGTCGCCCGTCTGCCTGCCTCCTCTCCCGTCTCTCCGAAGATGGACTCGGCCCCACATACACATTTTTGTGTTACAGTCATTGATGGACTCTATTTTTTTATTATTACTTGGACCTTGGTCGTTTTTATACTAGCAAAATGTCTTGTTTGATTTGTGTTTTTTTTTGGGGGGGGAGGGAGTGAATTTGCTGATTCTGTAGCAAAACCTGGGCGGGGGTAGGGGTGGGGGGTAGTTCACTTTGTTGTAAGGACTTGATACCTGGCTACAGCGTTTTCTATGAAATCTACTTGGATCCCATGCCTGAAATTTGGAAGCATATGTACAAAAATCATTTTTACGTTTTATTTTTAATAAATCATTGTGTTTGACCGTACATGTCTAACATTTTTTTTCTAGGATCCATTCCGTACCGTTTTAAGGGATATGAGTTGAAAATTTTTCGTGTTAAATCTTAATTTTTGATGTATACTTAGAGAAACTTTTAAAAGGTCCTGTGGGTTTTGTTTTGTTTTGTTTTTTTCCTTTTTCTGTTGCCCTGCTAGTGACTTTGGATTTTATCCCTTACAGACAAAACTTTCGAAGTGGTGGATGTGGCTTTTTAAAACCTTGAAAAGTTTTCTGTGCATCCATCTCTTGTACTAAGCGATTTGCTTATCATCTTGACATGGTTGGTCACTTCTTTCTATAAGAATTTACTTCAAAATATGTACTATGTAGTTCTAAAGAAATAGTTTGTGTTACGCATGTGTTTTCATTCATATAAACTGTTGAAAAATTTTTCAGATTGCCTAGTTTCATCCCTCTTACCGGTTTGTCTGTATTGAATGGTTACAAATAAGGGTTATATTTTACCCTCAAACTTAAATGCATTTTTGTATTTTCAGAACAGGTTTAAATGGTTTTTTTCTTATAGCTGAACTGTTGTCCTCATGGAAATCCCCCCCCCCCAACCTTGTGTAGCACCATCTACTGGCAGAATGGCAGAATATCTGCAAAAACAATTTGTTTAAAAACTTGTTTAGGACAGTTGCATCAGATTTAGAAGTTTTGCCATCAGAAATCTGTGCAGACTTGGGTTACACATTTACTTGTAACTAAAATGGGGTTCACAGGAATGTAGTTAACAGTCCATATCCCAATTGCCCTTTCTACATGAGATTTCAAAATGTAAACTGCTATGCATAGCTTGGGCAGTGGCCCCAAATTGCTATGACAACTATTGAACCAGCTACATGTACTGGTATCTTAGGTGCAAGTTGTAAAGCAAAATATCTGTGTATTCTGCTTGGTTAACAAATGTATATTTGTAGCCCTTTCATGCAATAGAATTCAAGTTGTTGTTTATAAAAAAAAAAACTGATATAGGAGAAAATTGCCTTCTTGGATAGAAATATAGACTAGCAACGTTTATGGATATCACAAATAAAGAATTCAATTCTTTACATGATTGAGTGAGAGTATGTATACCTACCTGGTGGGTGGATTCAGAGTACCTGTTAATTTAGTACACTTCATTTAATATGATAAAATATTTGACTTAAGTTTGCAGTTGAAGGCCCACAGCTATACTAAAAAAGCTTTCTGAAGGGGAGATTATGGTCATTAAAGTAAAATAAGTTTTAACATTGACCTTTTTGGGGATTCTTTCACTGTTTAATTTGTTAGATCTAATTTTTGCCAAATTTTTATTCATTGCGAGGGGTGGATTTTCAAGAGGTAAGAAGGTTGCTGGGCTAGATTATCACTGTCAGCTGTACTTGACAAAGGATAGCTGGTGCTTGGTGCAAATACTTAAGTACACTTCTACCACAAATGAGGTGGATGTCTTTGCACATTGAATAAATGCACAGTCAAATCTTGCTCTCAAATGGTTATGCAGTTCCTTAACATTTTTTGTTTTTCATTGGTGAAGCACTGCATGTCTGGCTTCATTTGATTTTTTTTTTTTCTGTTCTAGCTTTTGGGGGACCTCAAGGGTATATATGATATAAATATTTCATTACAGTTATTACTGTCCTTGATTCAGTTTTAGTGGGAAGATCTATTTCTTGTAGGTAACTTGAAATAGACCACCTCTGGAACGTGTGCAAAGTCATTTTGTATTCAATAACGCAGTGACTTCTAAGTTAAATATGTAGGGATTTCCTGTTAGTGAGAGAACCAATTTAGTATTCTGTTCATGGTATAGAACACCTAGTTTCGTGTACTTGCCGTTACAAATTTCTGTAATCTCTGCTGGTTTTAGTGAAGGGAAAAACGGTGGTTAGTCTTTCCTGAATTCCTTGTTCAATTTGTATGTAAACATTGGCTTGTGGGACTTCTGGTTTTTGGCAATCAGTTGTGTTTTGACTCATCTATAAAACCTGTGAGAACATTCAAACTTAAGAATTCATGGTAGGAGGTGGCATAGAACTTAGTATTGAAAACAGGTTTTGTGCTATGCTTCAATCTAATTTGAAAGATAAGCTAATTGAAAAATGAATCTTTGTGTCTTCCTATTGTAAAGATCTTTGTATTTTCAGTGTAAATTGAATGGTAATCAGTTGAAAGTGGTTTGAAAGATCATTTCAAATCTTAAAAAGCTTGCAAATGCCTAATGTTCAAGGGGTAACTCAAAATCAGAATCAAAACACTAGGTTGTTTTCCTTTGATAACAGTTTGGAACGTAGGTTTTATTTCTATTTTGGCATAAATTTTTGTTTTTCAAGCAAAGTTAAAAGAGTGAGGATATTTGATAATTTGTCATTTGATTGTTTTCCCCAAGACCAGAACTGACGGTGTTAGTTAACAAGGTTTATAGGCTCATTTAGTGTTTAAGTGTGCTCAAGTTTCTCAAATTTGAGATTGTGCGTTTTACAGTAAATTTGTATACGTCTATCTTTGCTGGTTGAAAGTGGGTGTTTGAATATTGGATTGATTTGAACTGCACCTAGATAATGTATAGGTTTTACCTGAAAGAGAACTTTTACCCCTAAAAGGGTGGTAAGTCCTCTTCTATGTTAATCACTGAGTCAGTGCAAGATTTTGATCACTGGGAAAAATTTCTCTCGATTCCCTGTTTCAGAAAGCTTTATTTTATAAAATCCTTTTTTTTTTTTTTTTTTAGCTTTCTGACAGGGTAATAAAAATTGCCTCTAATCTCGGTAGGAAAATGCTTTTTACCTTAGTGTCATGTTGTGGCTGACTCTGATGTGCCTCCTAAGCATTCTACTAAAAGGGAAAATACATTGTAAATTTTTTTTTTTAAATTAAAAACTCCCTTTAGTAGATAAAACTTAGGAAAGATAGTTCCTACTATTTTATTTTAAAAGTCATTGTATGACATTTGAATTGGGTAATCATTTAAAAGATGTAAATCTAGCTAGGTCTTTTTATATGCACCTACATTAATTTTAAAAATGGGAATTTTTAGATCTATAGTTTTTGTGTAGATCATTTTTATGTCTTTATCAAGACAAATGCATCTTCCTCATTTAAATGCCTGTATAATCCATTCTATAGCTTTATGCTTTTGCTCATCAGTTTTATACTTCTTGGTTGATGAGATGGCTACCTAAGAGTTAAATAATGCGATTGATAGGTGACGATGCAGCAGTTGTCTCTATGCTTAAAAGTATTTTTCCATTTTCGATACACATACAGAGCAAGGGACCTATTCATCGGCAGCTTTTTTACAGGTGTAGGGTAACTTCGACGAAAACTTTTTCCTGATCATTTTCTAAGCTAGATTATACGTGCAACAGGCCTGTGAACAAATATATTCCTCTCCTCCCTTTGTTTTCTCCAGTAGTTTTACTGAGGGAATATTGGCTAGTTTTTTCATTTTTTCATATGATGTCTGTATTTGTCACTTAAGAAATTTCATTACTCCCTAAACAAATAAGGAAGGCACCATTTGTGTTTTCATGTGCTTTGTTCTGTTAAGTTTATATGTACCCTTTCATTTATTTTCGTCCTCAGATAATTCTGTGAGGGGATCCCATTATATGTTTTGCATATTAGCTGCAGGCTTGTCTTTTAATTTCCCTAAAATGTAGCTATTGAGAACAAGAGATAAGGATTTTTTAATGTATTTTTAATAATACTGTAAAATAAAACTGCTCCTCCCTTTTTCTCTTAGTGCTCGGAGATAAACTGAGTATGTTTACTTCTAGATCTTTTTGAGTGGTTATATTAGAACAAATTAGATCACTTATACACTCGTGTATTTAATGTTAAAGGCATCTATAAACAACAAGCTTTTTCCTGTAATTAGTTTACTAGTATAGCTGTATCATAGTTTATTGATTTGCATCTTTCCAGGTTTTCTTCTGTTTATAATTTAAAAATTCTTTTTCTAGGTATTAACTGTATACCAAAGAGGAGAGGGATAAAGGAAATAACAGGATTAAGGGCAGAAACCATTGGTTACACCAGTGTCTAGATAGTGCGCTAAGAAATCTGCTGGAACTCTACAAGGAATTATTGGATATTCCATAGTCTTAACATTTCAATTTTGCTTTGTGATTTTTTTCCTTCCAGAATTTTTTTTTTTTTTTAGGAGGGAAAAGATAAACAAGGCCAGTGACTGGCGAATGCCCCTACCTCTTCTCCACATAACTGGTGGGAGAAATGAGAGACCCCATAGGGCGTGGACTACTCTGGCTTTCCAAATTTTGTTTGAATTTTTCTTTTTTTTTTTTTTTTAAGATTATTTATGCATAAAAGAGCTGGAGTACAGGCCAGAGATGGGTGTGTGTGTGTGTGAGAAAGAGAGAGAGAGGATTCACTACACAGAGTGGGGAACAGAACAGGCAGACTGACTGAAGTACACTGCTAAGGGGAGCAGCGGGCGAGTCAGGAGAGGTCTGCTGCGCCATGTGGGTTGCTCTCTGGCCAGCCGGGAATCGAACTCATGCTGCAGAGGCTGTGGATTGCTTCATAGAGTAGTGCTTAACCCCTTGTGCCACCAGGGAGGCCCTGTTTGAATTTTTCTATGAGAATGATGACTAAATATGTAAATTAAAAACAAGCCTTTCTGTCCTTAAATTTTGAAAGGAGAACATATATACATTGAGGTCTGGTGTTTTATGGTAGTAACTATGATATTACTCTTCTAAAATGTTCAGTATTTCAGTCATGTTAGAGGTTTTTTTCAGTGCAGAAATACCTTGTTGAATTTTAAAATACTTATTAAATCATTTGTTAAATATTTTCTCAACAAGGTCTTGAAAAAGTAACAGTCTGGATAGGGTATCCTGGGAGAGATTTGTTCTGGGTCAGAAATCATCAAAAATCTAGATTCAGATCTTACTATTTAATGTTGGTGAGGTGTTTTTTTTGTTTGTTTGTTTTTGTTTTTTTTTGCTTTATTCTCTTGTAATGTGAAGACCA